AATTCTGAATCTTGGATACACAATCAAATAGTGGTTGTGTTATCCCTATTAGAGATAGAAGGTCGTAATGGCGGGACAATGCATCAACAGCTGCATTAAAAGCCCCTGGACGATATTCCAAGGTATAGTTGTACCCAAGTAGTTTCAACAGCCACTTTTGTTGTGCCAGAGTAATAAGTCGTTGGTCTAAGAACTATTTGAAGGTTTGGTGATCCGTGAGAATTTTGAAGTGATGACCAATCAAGTATGGGTGCCACTTTTGTACAACAAACACTACAGCCATCATTTCCTTATCGTACGCTGACAAGGTTTGGTGTTTGGGGGCCAAGGGCTTACTGAGGAACTCAATGGGATGGTTATCTTGTGCCAACACTGCTCTTATACTAACGTTTGAAGCATCACACTCGAGAGTGAACCGCTTGGTAAAGTTCGGGAGAGCCAACACTGGTGTGGTGGACAGTGCAAGTTTGAGGGCCGAGAATGCCGTGTCGGCTGCCGGGGACCAAAGGAAACTGTATTTTTTTAGCATGTCTGTGAGAGGCTTGGCAATGAGACCAAAATGGCGGACAAATTTGCGGTAGTAACCTGCTAGACCCAATAATCCGTGAAGGCCCCTAAGACTTGTAGGCGTCAGCCATTCCACAATAGCTACAATTTTGGATGGGTCAACCTGAACCCCACTAGCTGAAATGATATGGCCTAAATAGGCAATCGAGTCCTGACCAAAAGTACACTTGGATGGTTTCAACCGCAAGTGGTGCAACTGGAGAATGTCGAACACGGCTGTGAGGTGGGAAACATGGCGGTCTAGTGATAGGAGCATATTTATGCGACTTAATTGGCTTGTTCTCGTACATTTACGTTATGTTTCCTTAGTTATTTTAGTGTTTAAAGTCACTTTTGTGTGTTTTCAGATTCTAAAGGCAAAGGATGCAATTTGGTGCCTTTTGGAGAAAATTGGGCTTGGAATGATTATCACAAGCTTGGAGCAAAAGGAATGGACGTAATTGAAGATGGATTCCTACTCACATGAGGATTCCTAGAAGAACAAGGATTCCTACTCCAACAAGGATTCCTACTTGAAGTAAGAAAGTTAAGCCAAGGTTTCCTATTTTGGTTTGACCTTTCCTAATACTAAAAGTCCTTATGTTCCAGCCAGTTTGAAGACTTCATATGCATTCTAGGATACAAAAAAAAGGCCCTAGAACCCTAATGGACCTTTGCCGCACCTCCCTTGACCTTTCCTCTTCCTTGTCGTGCAAGGGAGAGGGTTCTTTCCTATTTCCTTGCATTAAAACACATTCCTTTTGTGTTTTATGCCCTTGCCGCACCTTTTAGTCGAATTTCCTTTAAGTTTCTGATTTGATTTCCTATTTCTAGAAGCTTTTGACTTAATTTCTGTTTACCTAAATAACCTAGGGTTTTAATTCCTGAAATCCTTTAAATAAACTTCCTTTTTGCAGCCACAAAAGATCCATTCACTCCCATTCACGCCAGAAACCATTGAACATTCCTTGCCGTGCCCATACTTCACCATTCACACTAGTTTCTGCCCAAAAACATCCATTGCCGTCCCATACATCCAACCTAACCATAAACCCATCATTCTACACCATTCATAACTCCCAAAAACTCACCCCCAACCCTTGTGCCGCAGCAAAGGAGAGGAAAAAGAAGTGCTTGAAGGTTCTAGCTGTTCAACATTGAATCGTTGGAGAATTTAGGTGTTCTCTTTCTTATATTTACAATGTATAAATCTGTTTTCCTTTGTTTTGTGAACATGAGGAACTAAGCCTTTTTGGCTAGGGGGCTATTCAATACCATGATTATACTTGCAAGATGAACTGATTACTTCCAATTGTTATTTCATGAATTGTGAATTCAATTAGCTTAACCGTTTGATTGATGACTTATTTTTGTGTGTTGATTAAGGTGGCCAACTTAGTTTTCATGCAGGAATTTAAAGCTAAAATATAAGGAAGTTTCACCTAATAGTTACAACCTTATATTTGCAAGTAGTGGAGGTCGCTTATAAACGATCGTGTTAAGTGAATTCTTGGCAAACGTTTCATGCTTTTCATAGTAACAATTGCCTCGTCAATGCTTATAGTTTTCATGAAGTTTAATGATCTTTGATTGTACCTTTATTGTGCTTTTCACGTAAGGGACTTTTAGAGAATGTTTTGAGTTGTTGTATGTGCATTCCCATCCAATTCAATAACTTAAGGAAGACTTGAAGATTAAAAAAGTGCTATCACAATTAACCTTGGGCATTGAGGTTCATGGTTTATTGAAAAAAACAATTGGAAATCAACTTTGAATGCAAGTGTGTCATGTGTGGAGAAGAACCCTCTAGTTAGTCTATCACCCATCAATTCACCTAATTTTGTCTAAGAATCTGTTTAAATTGTTCTTGCTTTGTTTTACTTATTTTCGTCCAAAATCAAACCCCCTTTACTTTGTTAAGTCATATTAGTTAGAACTTGTCTTAGATTGTGTTTTTAAGTGTTTTGAGGCATTAGAAAACCAAATTTCGTCCAAACTTGTGTTTAGAGCTCAAAACTGGCCAGTTTGTGTTTTTAGGCAGTTTTGAGTGTTTTTAGGTTGTTTTGAGTCTTTTGAGTTTGTTTTGAGTCTTTTGAGTCTAGTTAAGTGTTTTAAAGCTTAGTTTTATCTAATTGAGTCAGTATAGAGTGTTTAGCAATCTCTCCTAATCCTCCGTTTAAGAACGATCCCTACTTATACATATACTACAATTGTCAACAAGAGGGTTTAATTTGTGTGTTTAGTTATTTTACGCATCATCTAGGGAGTCACTGAAGACTAAAATATCATCAAAAAAGACGAGAACGGATTTCCAGAGCAAGGGCTTCAAGATTGAATTCATTAGTGCTTGGAAGGTGGCTGGCGCGTTGGTAAAGCCAAATGGCATGACTGTGAATTCGTAATGGCCTTCATGTGTGCGAAACGCTGTCTTATGGATGTCCGCCTCGTGCATTCGGATTTAGTGGTACTCAGAGCGGAGATCCAATTTAGAAAATATCATAGCACCTTTCAATTCAGCCAACAGTTCATCAATAATAGGGACCGAGAAGCAATCTTTGATGGTGATCGCATTTAGCTCTCTGTAATCCACACAAAAACGCTAGGACAAGTCAGTTTTGGCACTAATAAGGTCGGGGATGAGAAGGGACTCGAGCTGGGGCGGATAATGCCTGCGGCTAGCATCTCGTCAACTTGGCGCTCCAATTCGGCTTTCTGGGCATGCCTGTAACGATATGGTCGAACATTGATAGGCCCCGTACCTGGGAGTAAGGGAATTTTATGATCGATCTCGCGATGAGGGGGCAATGATGTTGGGGGTTGGATGAGACTGTTATATTTAGTGAGGATGGATTGAAGTAGGGCCGGTGGTGGATTAGGTTGGTGAGAGGGGTGAGTAAGGCTTGACAACTGGGATACAGTTCGGAGAGGCTTGCCAGGAACAATCTTAATACTTGTAGGCACAGGAGAGCGCGGAACATGGGGATTCGAGGACCCAACCAATCAGTAATTGGTTCCATGGATTGAGAATTCCATAATTTTTAATAAAAAAATTCCATCTGATGAAACCCAGTGTTTCCAACCAATCCACTCCTAATACCATGTCACATCCCACCACCGTAAGAAGGTGAAAGTCACTGGTAAATGTATAGCCTTGAAGGTGCACTGAAACTTGGTGAGCCACCCCTTTGGTGTGAAAACAACGTCCTGTGGCGACCATGACTGCCTCGGTTCAAGACGGGTCAACGTGCAAGCCCAAACGAGTCGCCACTTACGGGTTGAGAAAACTTTTATCAGCACCAGAGTCGATGAAGACTTAGATCGGTGTTTGGAAAATGAATCCGTCCAAGCGCATTGCACGGCCCCTAGCACGCTTAGTGGCTGATATGGCATTGAGGGCGATGGGATACTCCGGATGTTCCACCATGGGAGGGGGCGGTGGTGCGGGAATCTCTGTCACTGGAATACGGTCGGGATCTTCCTCATCTGCTAGTAACAGTAGGATGTGGGATTGACAACACCGGTGACCGGGTAGATACTGGTCATCACAGTTGAAGCAGAGGCCCTGCTCGCGGCGGTTGCGCATTTGGCAGGGGAGGGGTTAGTGCTGTAAGAGGAGGTCGAGATGTAGTGGGTTGGTTAGGTGGGGTGGGTGAGGGGGAAAAAGGTTGTTTAGAAATATAATGGGATGAACGATAGTGTCCAGGACGGACCGCTGACCGGCGACCCGGTTTGTGCTCGTAGATGCGAGCGAGTTCAATTGCTCGTGCCATAGAGGAAGGTCCCTGGGCCAGGACATCATCTTGCAGCTCGTCTTTGAGGCCTTCCAAAAATGCGCCCAGTAGTTGAGCTTCGGTCCAGTCCGGAGTACGGCAGGAAAGGCGAATGAACTGGCCCACATACGCCTCCATGTGGTGGTCTGCGTGATATGGGACAAGGCCATATTAATGTTCAAGGAGTCAGTTGGGCCAAATCGTTGCAACAACTGGGTCGTGAAGGTAGCCCATGAGGAGAGGAGGAATCGTAGCTTGAACCAACGGAGCCAGTGGGTTGCGTCGCCTCCAAGATGAAAACCTGTCACTGTGACATGACGGTGCTCAGTTATCTCTTGATAGTCTAAAAACTCCTCAGCCATCGCAATCCATCTGTAAGGGTCGTCTCCAAATAAACGAGGAAGTTCGATTTTAAGGTGTTTGTGCCCAGGAAAGGTCGGGGAAATGGGTTGGGGTTTGTGGGTGTAAGACGGTTTAGGGGGAACAAAAGAAGTGGTAGGCCCAGTCGTGGATGGGGGAAGGTAGCGGGAGGTGGAGGGTCAGTTCAGAGCTTGGGTGGTGGTGGTTGTTAGGGTGAAGGGAAGGGATGAGGTCCCGGCCGTGAGGTGGGATCCTTGGGGTTGAGTTGTTAGGAAGGGTGGGGAAGGAGAGAGAGACTATGTCAGTGGTGGTATGGGGGTGTGGATGGCAGATAAGGGGTGGGTCCTAGCGAAACGGGAATGGAGCCGATTGGAATTTGTGGGTTGGGTAAGGGAGGGTTTTTTAGGGCACGAACTTCGTCCAAAATCGTTTACTGCAGCTAATCCTGACGAACCTGGTGGATCGAGAGACCGGCCATGGTGTGCTGCAGGTCGTCGTAATGGATATTCAACAGCGAGATGGATTCCTGAAACTTCTGTAACTGGGTGAGTATCTGGTGTTGTTGAAACTCACGGTCCAATTTGTCATCTGATACATCTGCCACCGTAACGGAAACCTTACTTTTGCCCATGGTTCCAACCTGGCTCTGGATACCAAATGATAGGTTCCAAGGGGGGACCAAGAGGCGAATTTGCAGAGAAAAAGGAAATGACAGAGAAATTGTAAAAGAACAGCTTTTCATTCATATCCCAAATGGGAGTCGCAACAGGGATAATATGCCCACACTCGCACTACAGACAAGAGTGTTAGGTAAACATGCTGAGTCACTATCCTACTATTGATCCACTCCTAGATAAAGGAAATAACTAAGGAAATGGAAAAAGGGTCTTAACAGATTGTGATTGTGTAGCTTCTCAGTCTCTCTTTCTTTGTATTTTGTAGTACTTTCTCTCTTGGTTTGGTGTTTGTTGTAAATTTGAAACTAAATCCCATATACTCTTACAAATCCTCCAATCTTATCTTTAATTAATTTTGATGTAAATTTGAAGACATTATTATTCTTTTCTGATTTGCTTGTTTCGATTTCATTAACCAGTTCCTAATTCTGCTGAATTTCTTTGTATTCTTTTCTGATTTGCTTGTTTTGATTTCTTTATATTTTGTAGTGCTTCGATCTACCCAATACTGCATCTGCAACCAAAGATCCGCCTCTGTTTATCTCCTTCCACTCCCTCTCTGTTTTTCAGTGTTCAAGTTTCGATTTTTATGTGCTGAAATCTATAAATTTGATGTCTTTGGGTTCTGTTAAATTGGATTGGGTTACATGTTTTGGATTTTCCTCTGTTGGATTGGGTTCTCTGTGTTGGATTTTCCTGTCAATCCCAATCTTAATGGTGTTTCTGTTAATTGGTGTTGTGTCTCACGGTTTTCATCTTCATCGACTATTGGGTTGGATCGACTATTGGGGAGCTTCCTCAATGGGCAGTTGTCGGTAAGCGACAAAGTTCATGCACCATATTTGTTATATACTTGAAGATAGTTAATTACTAATCCTGATCTGTATTTCAGGTGATACATTCCCAGTTGGCTGTGCTTTTGATCAATCCAATGTTCATCACAAGGTACTTCTGTCGTAAACTTGCTGCGCCTTTCGCGTGATGACAATTATCTGTTTGCTGATCAAAATTTTTATCCACATTATTGCCGCAGTACTTTGCGGAAAATCCTGACTACTATAATCCTTCTTACAACACTAAGTATGGAGTTTACTCGGAGGGATGTGGACTCGAAAATGTTATGATGTCGTGGGGGCACGATGATTACATGTATTTGGTATGTCTTCAAATATTTCATCATGTATTCAGATATACTTCAAAATATTAACTCTAAGCCTCTAATCAAACAATCTCGTTTTTTGTTAACACAATTAACTAAGTTTAATCTAATGGTGTGACATCTTCAGGTGGCCACAGAGAACAAATCAACTCTGCCTTCAGCAGCTCTGTTTATCATTAGATACCACTCATTCTATGGTATGTTAAGCAGCAGAAAAATACTACAAATTTACCAAAACAAAAATCTGTTTTCCTGACTAATTAACTGTGATGTTTTCTTTTTGATATTATTGCAGCCTTACATAAAGCGGGAGCGTATAAGCACTTAATGAACGAAGAGGATGTCGAAAACCTGAAATGGCTCCGTGTATTCAAGTAAGTTTATATGATACTTCACCTCTTACTAATTTTTCTTTAGTCTAAATGCTTAAGTTCACTTCGTATACTTTTACGTTTTTCCGTCGCAGCAAGTATGACCTTTACAGCAAGAGCAAGATACGGGTTGACGTTGAGAAGGTGAAGCCATACTATATTTCTCTCATTGAAAAGGTAAGTTCAACCAGATTTCATTTGATTCAACACACTTTTCTTCATTTTTTTTCCTGGAATATTAATTAGTGTTTTTAACTTGAACAATGTTGGTTGTGCAGTACTTCCCTTCGAAGCTAAGATGGTGAATATCCCAGCTCTTCCGTTCAATGTGTAACGAGTGTCGACTATATACCAGCAGATAGCGAGCGAGCTATACGCGAGGGATGACATTTCGATTTGTAGCTGCAATTCCTTGTTATTTCATAATGATTTCGTGTAAAATTATCTGTTATGTATGGTGTATCGGAACCCTTATCTTGGTTCCTTAATAAAACTCCAGCATGATTAAAAGTAAAAACTAGGGTTTTACATGACTCAGTTTCGTTATTTCCAAGCAGTATACACTTGTAACTCGTTGCCTAAATTGATAGTTATTCCATACCATAATATAGGACCTAAAAAGTTTTCTTTTGTGAAAATTGGTTAACTGGTGTAGTATCAAGTATTTTTGAGTCAATCTGTAATCTCAACTCAAAGAGAGTGCTCTAACGATTATAGGCTAATTGAGAATTTTGTACGCTGATGTGGTTTTGTTAGTTGGTAAGGGACTTTGTCCGCTTTCTTCCCTCTGAATTCGGCTTACCTAAGTTCGAGTGGTTTAAAATATTGTTTTTGTCAAAAAGAAGCGAAGAAGAATTTAGTTGTTACTATTGAGAATAGAGTGCATTTTTGCTCACCATCATTTAGTGTGGTGTATGCTCACCACCTTCTTTATCACCATTAGATAAGTTTTAATTTTGAGATTTGTTCCCATTCACTACACGAATTTCAAAATTCAAACTCATCTAAGGGTGATAAAAATGATGGTAAGCATACACCACCCTAAATAATAGTGAGCAAAAAAACTCCCATTGAGAATATGAGTTGGGCTATGTCTCCTAGGCGTGCACCTCATCCCAAAATGCGCTGTCGTTTGTGGTCCGAATTTGATTTGTGATGGATTTTTAAGATGGATTATTCATTATGTGCGCAGAAACAAATGGTTGTGCCTTCAATGTTAATACATGTGTTTTAGCGGGTAGACTAGATTTTTATAATTCTTATTCAATCATTTATTTTTAAGAATTTTAATGACAAGCTCTTGATACTATTCACTTTGACGGAAAACCACATTTTTACACTAAAAAGTTAATCCTGGTACTATTTATTTTACCCTTTATTTTGTCCATATCGTTAAAACTCAAAATTTTCAAGTCATTTTCATTAGTTTTCCTTTTATTTTTTGTACCATTCAATTCAACGTACTATTAAAAATATAAGACCAATTTTTTTTCGTGGTCCCTTAGTGAGACCCAAATTTTGAGCAGACCTCTATAATGAAAAAGTTGTTCATCCATAACCTTGTGGTCAAATTCGTTATCAATCTTAGTCCTAATCAATTTCTAACAAAACTCAACCCACATGTAGGTGTAGTGAAATTGAGCAAATGTGTGCAGTAGAATATAAAGTAAATAAGACACAATATTTACGAGGCAACAGGTGTGGCTACATCATCGGGACAGTAGTAATACTTTCTTTCATTATCTGAAATAATAGGAGTATAAAATAACTCTCACTATTTTCTGTCTTCTCTCTAGTCTGGCTCACTGGTATTTTCGCCTGCGTATCTCTTCTTTCTTTTCTCTCTATCTTTCATCTTTCTTTCCTTTCATCCTTATGTTTTTCTCTATTTTTGTGTTGTGTTCTTCAATGATGCAAATACCTCTTTATGTAGAGGTTTTCATTCTTCCTTGGTCATATTTGGTTGGCCATGTTTTTCAACCTAACAATCTTACCAAGACATTTTCTCTAGCAACATTGTAAAGTTACGGTTATATTTGGTTGCCTATTACTATGGGCATTCACACCTCCATTCACAACAGTCCATTTTGGATGCCCATATCAATATTGGTTGCCTTGTTAAAATCTTGATTTGTTTTGGATGCTCCCCATGATGAGTATCTTCCCTTGATTTTGAATTCTTCAATCTGACTGATTACAAAGTTGATGTAATCAGATGTCATGCAGTGTTTGCTTCTGAAGGTGGATCACGTGTGCCCAAATTTTAATAGGCCACAGGTCTTGACCAAACACATGTATTTCTGAGAGATATGAAGATGTGGCAATAAATGTTTACTTCCTTGATCGCTGTAGGATCAATATATTTTCATATGTAAATACAAATTCCTTTTTGTGAGCGATATGCATACAGGCTAAAGAGATATTCAGATTTGCTTGCCTAATAAGGTTATGCCTTTTGGTGAGTTCTTCGGAATAGAACAAGCATATGTCTATAATTTTCTAAAGATATCAATAGATAAATTTTACTTCATTCTAATACCCATATGGTGGTATTGTGCTTAATAGGAAATGTAACATCTGACTCAGTGTATTGTGCTAAATACAGTAAGGCACATACTTCACTAAGATATAGTACTTCTGGACCAAACATCAATTCATTATTTCCCTCACGATGATGAATGATCTTTCTTAGTGTTTAAATACTGGTTAATCATTTGAGTGTTTGAACTCATAATCTTCAATCCATATGGTACTTTAATACCACAAACATTTTGATGGAAACAAATCATGTTGGTATATTATTCGATATGCAACTTGAGACAATATTTCTTTCAACACTTTATAATTTTTCTGGCTCTTCAGGAGTCCTAATATAATATCAACTCTTGCAAGAGATTTAATATGTTGCAATAGTATCATAATGATAGTACCAACTAAGGCAATTTATATCATCCATTGGTATTAAGTACATAATTTATATTTTACCCTTCCAGGGTTTACTTTAAGCAATTTGAATCTTTCAAGGATTTTCTACACTTCATGACACATTCTCCTTTGGAATTTATACAGAATTTGCTTCTATGACACATTCTCCTTTGGGCATATATATAATTCTCCACTGAAATGAACAAGTTTCACAATGAGAAATCATGCTTCCAGGAGTGTATTACAATCTAAGAACCTTGCGTCTCATTGTATTACAAATGCTCACATGTAACCTTCTGGGTTCAACATAGTTTGGTGGTTTGTACTATAGGTTCATTTTTTTCATGTTCATATTAAATTGTAATGGAATTGTCTCTTTCCATTTTTGGCCTATAATTTTTGTTTTGTTGACGAACAAAAGAATATCGCTCAATATCAACACAGCTCATTGATGAATTTAGTAGCTACTGTAAAACCAAAATTAACATTGGTTATCATCAATTCGCGATTCACAATTCTTATGTGCATGCGCATGCATATTTATAAACATTTCATTACTTTAATCTCCACTTCTAGGGAGTTGAATCATTGGAACCTATACATTTATCATCCTTCGGGCATGAGATATATTAAAATTTCCATGTCCATAGATTGTCCTTTTTGGACTTTAATCTATGCAACGACTATCATGCTTCAGGCATGCAATAGTTTAGTAGGGTCAATTCATGAATAGTCTTATTGAGACTTCAATTCATGCATCATTTTGTAACTTGTTAATGCATTTGGTAGTTTATTAGTAATCGTGAAGATTGTATTACCTTTTATATATCATTGGTATGATATAAACTGGTGAGACAAAATAATATTTGTAGTCATTTTTATGCTTTGGCCATAGACTCAAGTCAAGTTTGCTAAGGCTATGAGTAGGATTCCCATAATAGAAATTTGGTCTTCCATTCACTTAGTCAGCCAATCATTTTCTCCTTTTGAACTTTTATGGGTTCATTGTTGATCATTTGGCTTCAACCTCCTGCATAATAGAATGATGTGCAACCTTTGCCTTTAAATGATCCTTCAAAACATCACTTCTTGGTGGCTCATCCATGCTTGGTAGTTTTAGTGTAAAGAGCCAACAGTGTACCAACTGTTATGCGACATTGGTGACTTGAAACCTAGCTCTAACAATAGTTGAAGATGACTACTTGAGAGCAATGCAAGGTATGAAATTAGGCAAAGGCTCCAGGCAATCAGTTCTGAATTAGAAGTTTGATTTTCAGGTTCCGACTGATTGCTTTCTTTCTTATTATCTTGTAGGCAATAACAAGGCAAAAGAAAAGACAGGAAAAAAGCATGATATGAGATACTTTTGCTCTTGACCCTGATGATATAAGGTAAAAGCTCTTGAAGAAAAACAGTAGAAGGATATGATGATGATGTAAAACTTCTTGATCAAAAATATTTTCTTGCTGAGGAAATGAGTTGGCCATTTTGAGGGACTTGGTTAAAGATTCATTCTGGGCAAAGAAGAATAGTTAGGCATTTTTGGAGGTCTACTTTGCCATGGAGGACGGGTCGACATATATAGGGATTTCCTAAGAGCAAGTAATGGGGTTGTTAGGACCATTTCTTTCACGGTTGTCGGCAACAATGGTGTAGTTGAAACAGTAAAATTCATGTGTTTTAACTTTGTCAAAGATAATTTGACAAAGTTGTCATTGATATCCAAAAAGCTAAGATTGTGTCTGAGAAGTGCTAATGACTTTATTCAGGTAAATTCGACTTTTGAAATTTAGAGAGCGGTGTCTCTTCGTTTGAACAAGTGGTCGTGTTAGCCATCAGTTGTATCCAAAAAGTACGCTCATAAAGTTGCCCACCTATGAAAATTGCTTTTGTTGTATTTCTGAGATTTCACTTATCTAACCTCATTTTCTTTCATCATTTCTTAAAATAGCTTGCCCATCTGGCCATTGTTTTGATTTGAATTTTGTGGAAGATGCATACATGCCTCTTCAAGACAGTATATGGTGCCCATCCTTCTTATCCTATAACGGTCCTCTTAAGGTTGGAGGCTTCATGATGAAGAATGATATAGTCGCTTCAGTAGTAGCTAAAAACCTTGTCAATCCCAAATATAAAAGAATACTTTCAAAAAGGTCTAACTAATTGGATGTTCAAGACTCTTTGGCTCTCAGTCTTAAGTGTGTGAGTTTTTTATTTAACATGGGCCAACGTGTACTTACTCGAACTCACCAAGTTAAATCATTAATGGCTGAGGTGGCAAGTCTTAGACAAGAGATTAGATGACTTAAGCATGAGAATAGAAAGTTGTACATACTTGCAAATAATTACCCTACGAACATGAAAAGAAAGCTCGACCAGCTACAAGAATCTGAAAACCGGCATTCATTGCCTCCACCCTCTAGACTTCTACCGAATACTGAGGCTTTAAATGATCTACCTTTGGTGCCTCCTCCTTCTGGAGTTTCGCCAAGTATTGAGGCTTCACATGATCAA